ACCCCAAATTATCTTCTCTGGCATAGGGGTATTGTAGTTGATTTAAGTGCTGTGACATGCAGATCAATGGATGTAGCAACACTTACTGGAATCTGGCCTTTGTGGTCATTTTATCGAAGTTAACTACACACTTCCTGAGTAGTAAATAGTCTAATCCTAATATGCATTGGTCTTCAATGTCAACCAAGTATACTTTCTGTGTGTTCTTCATGCCCATGAGCTCAATAGTTACCCACACCGGTTCTCTTATCCCTGCACAATGTCCTGTCACACCACATAGCTTCTGTACAGCTTCTGGTACTCCTTTGCGATCCAGCACCTTGATACTCACAATGGGTGGCTGAGACACAGAATCTATGACAAAGTTGCACCTTTGGCCATCCAGCTTTCCTGTCATGTAGACACTATGTGTGCTTGTAATTTTACACTTAGCTGTTGGGACTTTCACGATGGGGGTTGGTGGGCATCCCTCAGCACCAACCACTACTGGTTTCCCAAAGCTGACTTATTGGTGGTATTCTTCTTACACTGGCTCCTCATATGTCCTTGCTCTCCACAGTTCCAACAATCTTTCTGGGTAGCAGCCTTTCCTGCTGTGGCATCTCCCCTGTGTTGAAGTTGCCAGCAATGAGCTCTCTTGTGCCCAGGTTTATTACAGTGCCAGCAAAGTCTTTCAAACTTCTCTGAAAGCTGCCCTTTTCTGGCCTTGAATCCTGACGACTGTACCAACCTTGGTACCTCTGTGCTGGACTTAACGTAGGATTCAAATTCAAGAGCTCTGGCCATTGCAGGCTCTCCCCTTTAGCACGAACTCTCGTCCTAAACCTAGCCCTGTAGACTTCAGACTGATTTTGGGTTCCATACCTGAGTTCTAGAGCCGCTTCCACTGCTCTATATTGAGTCTGTCGTCTGCTGACAACTGTTCAAGTATTTCCAGTGGTTTCTTCCTTCAAGCTCATTGACAGATATACTGCTTTCTGCTCCTCTGTCCATCCATTCATTTCTGCCAGTAGCT